AGGATATGCCGATCCATGACGACATGCATTCGCTCCCCACTTTTCCTGCTCTGGCGTCCGTGAAGTTTTCCAACACCCCTGAGCTATACTACATCCCAACACCAGAACACGAAAGCAATTGGAGACCCATCATCCAAGAGGCACGGGAGTTTCGTAAAGAGTACCCCGTAAACTACAAGCCTAAAACGGATGGTCAAGATTTGAGGGATGCACAGGCGAGCGCAAGAATGCTCAGATCCACGATTGACGGTATGATTCAGGGCGCCAACCCAGCGTGCAAATTCAAATGCAAAACCGAATTCGGTTGCAACGAGTGCATCGCCGCTAACATAGCGGTTGGCTGTCCCGCTCAAGGCATCAAGTCTGCACCCACTGTGGATGTGGAATGGATCGCAGATACAGGCAGTGCCCAAGACCCTGTGTCTAAGCGTGACTTGCAAGGCCTCGAAGATTTCGAATCGTCCAAGCCTGTCAATATGATGACAGCCAACGGTCCTAGCTACCGCCGACCGCCAGAGTAGAATCTTTATCCCGTCGATCGAGTCTACTACTGAACCTTATGTGTTGTCTGACTCACCGTCTGTGCTATCCGTCGGTCAGAAATGCATGGAAGAGGGTTTTGACTTCGTGTGGAGGGCAAACTGTAGGCCTTTCTTCAGAGACACTGAGGGTAAGAAAGTCTACATGGATGTCAGGGACAACGTTCCATACTTGAAATCTTGGAAGGAGAACGTTGCATTGCCCGTCAGGCCTCCACCATCGAAGTGCTTGCCCTCGCCAGCTGAAAAGCTCGGCAATGATCATGTCGATTCAGAACAGTTGGCGCATGATTTGTTGAAGGACCGTGATTTCAGCTGTAAGTCTTGCCTTAAGCTTCTTCGTGCATTGAAGTGCAAGCCAGCTAAGAGTAATCGTCTGTCTGTCTCGAACAAGAGTAAGACCAAAGACACTGTGGAATACATTGTATTCGGTGCGTTCGCTCATGGAGGAGTACAAGGCATCACGAATATCACGCACAAGAACCCAAGGGCGTGCCAATACATTAATGCCTTCCTAGGTGAACATGGTATGGCAGGCGAGTGCTCATACCTATGCATCAATCACGGGTCCACAATCAAAGTGCATAAAGACGTGCACAACATGAAGGGCTCCATCAACCATACGATTAGCATGGGCGAGTTCCAAGGCGGAAATCTTTGGATTCACGACTCCGCCGCCCTAAAGGGTGAGCCTAACGTCACGTCGCATCGACTGGGCAGCAAAACCATTCATGGGACGGAGCTTAGCACCCGTAACAAGCTGATCCAATTCGACCCCAAACAGTGCCACTGTGTCGTTCCCTGGAAAGGGGACAGGTGGAGCATCACGGCGTACGTCAATCGGGCACTGCCGAAGCTTAGTGAAGCCGAAATCAAGAAGCTTCACAGTTACGGTTTCAAGCTCTCTAAGCGTGCAGCTATCCCTGCTCCTGTCCCTGATCCTAAGGACGAACGCGTTTTGCGTGAGTTGGTGACTGAGGAGTCAGCCCCTCGACCTGAGGAACCAAGAACGAAGCCTAAGGTCAAGATTAGGGAATCCGAGAAAAAGAAAAAGAGAGAAAAGAAATCAAAGCCTGATTCACCTCACGTCCTCAGTGATGCAGCCAAAGAATTTGACGCTTTTGTCGAACGTGTTGAGACTGAGCGAGCTGCAGAGGATGATCTTGATGAGGTCAGGCGCATGATTGCCGAATATGGCACTGATGACGAAGCAGAAGAACTGCCCAAACCGGATGCTGCACGACCCCCTGGCGGGGAGTCCAGTGTCCCAGATGGGGAGGGTAGTTCTAGTCCGAAGATCGCAAAAGGCATTGAGGCGCTTAAGAAGGAAGCGAAGTCGTTGCACCATCTGATGACTCACATTCCTAAAAAATCCCTACTGTTCGGTTTGCAATCAGGCTAAGATGTACAAGGCCCCAGGGTATCGCACCGATGGCCTTCGTTCTGTCTCAGCAAGTTGTTTCGGTGATCACATCACCGCCGGCCATGTTGTGATCTACAGGGATAGTGATAACATGGTTGAAGATGCCCGTTTGGCTTTTGTTATCAAAGATGCTGCAACTTCTTTCATGTTCGCATACCCTTCTGCGCTGAAGGATGCCGATGAGTGCAAGGCAGCTCTCCAGCACTTTGTTTCAAGTACGGATAAGGTGGGTGTGTTTTATAGCGACAACGCAAAGGAGCTCACAAAAGCTTCCAAGTCGCTCGGCTGGCGCCATGAGCACAGTAAAGACTATATCCACCAATCCAATGCGTGCAACTTCAGAGGGCACACGTTGCAATCTTTTGCAAGCCGGTCTTTCCCATGTGTACTGGCCGCAAGCTCTCGAGCACGCATGCGCCGCGTTCAACATCTCTCACCCTAACGGGATTGAGCATTCTCCTTGGTACAAAAGGTTTGGAGAAGGTTTCAAGGGTAAGTTCTTGCCTTTTGGATGCAGAGTTGACTATTGGGTTGGACCCAAGTCACAGAGAAAGAAGCGTCCTAGATTCGAACCAACCTCCGAGCCAGGCGTATTCCTCGGTTATTACTTTCAACCCGGCATGAAGTAGAAACGCGAGATCCTTGTTCTTTCCCTCAAAGAGCTGAACAGGAATGACTTCAACGAGTGTCTTCCTCCTGTCAAAGCGAACCAATTTAGTGTCCCCGAAGGAGACTTTGTGTTTCCCATGAAGGATCGCTACGAACGTGTTCGCGCCGGGCTAGCGCCTGATGCTCTTGAGGGACCAGGGCCTCCACCGCTTGAAAATCAAGATGCCGAGGTTGGTGACGAGCAAAAGGCCGAGATAGAGAACGCCAGCCTAACGGTTGAGCCTACCATGGTAATAGACCCAGTGTCCAGGAAATCCGTCCCGCTCCCAGAGGGCGGACGATACTATGACACTATGATTCCGGGGGGACGTTAGGTAGGAGATACGGTGGCACTATAGAGGTTCCACTAAGCCTGACGAAATCCCCACGCACTTATGGGTGAACATGTCAAAGGCTCAGAAGCGCAAAGCCATCGAGGAGTCTGCTATGAAAGCTGCGCTCGAAAAGCTTGACGATGATGGCGGAGTTGGTTCTAGTACAGACCGACCTGCTAGCGCAGCGTCGAAGATGAAAGACTCATGGGAGATTCGTGGCAAAGCACTCATCAGGTATCACTTTCAGCCGCGATGCGAGTTGTTTTCGCCCGACATCACTGATTGTCCGATCGATCTTTCAAGACTAACCAATTGGAGGTACACCAACATCCTTCC